GTTCCTTTTGCCAAACCAACACCTGCACCATTCACTAAACCCCAAACTCATGCCCCTGCGATAGTAAAGCCTGAGCCACAACCCATTCCACACTATGAGTCCGGCCCTCGACTGACAAGAAGCAGAGCAAGGGGCATGATAAATTTCAAGCCTATAATCCAACCAAAGGGGACTGTTTTTGAGGTATCTGATGAGAGTGACTCATTACCTGAGAGTCCTGAGACTCAAACCAATACACCTGGAGCATCACAGGCAGAGCATACCTCATTGGCTATGTTGTCAGAGGCTACAACCATGATGAACAAGCAGAGCATGCCTTCATCATTCACAGAAAGACTCCACGAAGGTTTAAAAGTTTCTGTACCCTTAACTAGAGATTTATTATCTGGTTTCCCTGTTTATCCACAAGCTAGTGTTGGGTTCATAAAAAGATCTGTGGATGAGGCAATTGCAGCCTCAAATGAGGCATTAGGCTTAAGATCAGAAAGATGTGCACCCACCATGTCTATGGTCCACTCTCAGTCATCTGTGGCTGTTCAAACTCCAAAGAAGGGAAGTTCATCCCTTAAACGCTATGTTGATGCTGCTTTGGCAGCCATGGACAAGGTAATCAGAAGGGAACCAGAGTGTATAACAGCCCCTATTCAACCAACTGTCCCTACCACACATGCACACCATTTCAATTTCTTTAMACCTCCACACTTCACCAATATACCTGTTTCATCATCAACCATAGAACCCACACTACTCAAGCATGCATCCACATCTGGAAGAGCACCTGTAGGAACACTGTATAAACCAACCCCTGTCCGAGCAATACCTAACACAGCCACCATTGAAACTACCCCTGTTGAACCAACAAAACCTACCCCTGTTGAACCACCAAAACCTACCCCTGTTGCAACCACCACCAGCCCTCTACCTACTGAACCCATCCCTCTGCCAGACACTGTATCTATCCAAGAATTGGATTTTGTCCTAGGCTTATCACCCTCTAACCCCAGCCTTACACCCTTTCACCATGATGAACATCCCTCTGACCCTCAAAACTCACCAGTTACTCAAACACCACCACCTTCACCACATT